GTCAAATGCCTTTGGTACTACACTACCAGAGCTCCCACCAATATTGTGTTAAGTACCATTTGTGAACCTGAATCAGTAACTTTTATGAGGATGAAGTAGTAATTGAAGGAAAAAGAGAAAAATCAAAAAAAGGTTTCTACTCTGTTACCAGTAGTGTTGGAACTAATGTTGTAATTCGATGTAGAAAGATTTTACGAAATATTTTTCTTGTTAGTATTCACGCAATCTAAGCACTGTTACATTTAAGCAACTTATAACCGTATCACATATACCACAGAGTCTATGATTAAAACGGATAATAAACGTGACAAAAACTAAGGATTCTGTACGGTCTGGCATGGGAGGAGGTAGGTGGAGGGGTGACACCATGAGTTACCGCAGTGGGGGACACCAACCCTAGTGATGCCGCTGTAAAAACGATTTGAAGTCACTAAGGACATTGATTTAAATATTTTCTGTTTTGAAATTCTGAAGAGAGGTTACCTACAAGACAGGGAATGGGCGTGCCGTTACAACGGATAACCACCACGTGGTGCATGAGCTGCCTGATTGTCTACCACCGTGGAGGTGAGTTGGCCCAGGTTTCATGCAGTCAGCTAAACTGTATGCTAAAGTCTGTCTTGTCCTTGTTCCCCTGGCTGCTGTGGCTCCTTGTAACTGAACACGTGGAACCATTAGCTGGGACGTGATAAACGTCGTTCAGCTGCCAGGACCGGAGGGATTCACACACATGTTGGGTCCCATTTACACTTACACTGTGGTTCCCCAACCTCTCTGCTTAAAGGTGACAAAGGCCAGAGGCCATTAAACCCTTCCTCCCCCAGCAAACCCTGGGTCCCTGGGTCAGAAGCAGACAGAGTCTGGGGTCATTGTGAAGGGTGCACCTTCATGATGAAGAAGAGGAGGATGATGATGACCACGTTGACCTGCGGGTGGATCCACACGGCAGACTGGCCAAGGGTCTCAGGGTCCCCAGTGTGCTTGACCCATGTGTTGTTGTCAAACAGGGTACTGATGGCTTCCCGAGGCATCAGCTGGAGAGGAAGAGCAGGATGGGGTTCTTCAGGGACACCAGACCCAACATCTCCGCACTCAAGGCAGCATCCTAGCCCGAGGGCCCTCTGGCCTTCTCAGGCGTGACTCCACCCTTGGGTCAAACCCCGTGTCCCGGGGGCCTGCAAGTTGTCTGCCTGTCTCCTCCCAGTGACCCACGTGCGCCTCAGTGAGCCTTGCTCGCTGGCCTGGCCCCCAGGTCCCCTTCCCGCTGACCTCTCCAGCCATGAACTGGCCCAGGCCTGGGGGAAAGGTGAAGGAGGCGATGACAAAGGTGACGATGCCAGGATACAGCAGGCGGCTAGAAAAGAGGAAGTTAACCCCCCGGTGCAGCCAGCCACAGGGACACCACGGCGAACCTCCCCCCAGGCCTTAGCAGGCAGCACAGGGCACTCCCTCGACTCTCCTGCAGGCTGCCAGTGCCAGGCCACCAAATAGGCGAGGGAAGCACAGGTTATTCGTGCTTACTTACTGGTCTGTGAGGCTGTTCACTGCAGATTAGAGGGTAAGCATAAGTAAGTCGTGCTTACCTTGCTTAGCAGGTAATCTGCCTCAACCTAGGGTCTTTACACAAAGAACATCCTCTCAACCAAGATCTCACCTGGAGAGGAGCGGCCGCTCTGCCTGTTCCGTGCAGTGCGGGGCCTCCTGTGCCCATCCCACCCAGCAGGCACAGGGTGCAGCCGCATGGGCAAGGGGGCCCTGGAGAAAGCGGTAGTTGGGGGGAGGGAGAGGGCAGGACTCACTGCTTGGCCAGAAACTGGCTCAGGATCTTGTTCTTGCGGACCCCCAGCATGACCTGGCGGTGCAGGTACACAAACACGGCCCCCAAGAATCCACAGCAGATCCTAGGGACAAGCACAGGCTGGTGCCCGGTCCCGGGGAGGGGCCCTCTCCCACTTGGCCACCACTGCAGGCCAACAAATGCTGGCACACACCTGCCCTGTCCCCACCTGCCCTCTCCCCCACCTGCCCTGTCTCCACCTGCTCTGCCCTCACCTGCCCTGTCCCCACCTCCCTGGTCCCCATCTGCCCTGTCTCCACCTGTCTCTCCCCACCTGCCCTACCCCCACCTGACGGCTGTTCACATTCGTCTATGTCCACCCCCATCCCTCTCTGGCAGTAACCACAGACCCGATGACAGCAAAGGCCGGGAGCTCCTGCAGGTCGAAGGGGAAGTCCATGCGGAAGTTGGTTCTGAAGAGCGCAGTGATGGTGACTATGAGGAAGGAGAGGATGAGAGGTGCATCAGAGCCCGGACAGACCCAGCGGCCAGGCTGCAGGGCAGCCTCCTCCGGCTCAGTCTCTCCTGTCCTGTCTGACCCCTTTTTCTAGGCACACTCCCCTCTCCATCACCTGCATCCCTGGTACAGAAACCTCCCTCCATTTCTTGGGCCCCACTCCCACCTCCCAAACAATGTCATTCGTCCCTCTTCTGAACTGACTCCCAGACTGCATGTCCCATGACCCGCATCCCTGCTCCACACAACATACCCACCGATGAATGGCCCCATTCCCAGCATCCTTGTCTCTCACAACCCCCCATAGCTCCCCATCCCAGTTACCAGCATCCTTGTTCCACACGGCCAGCACACGGAAGACAAAGGCGCTGAAGGTGGCCGCAAAGAACCCTCGCCAGTAGTTGCGTACGGCAAAGTAGGTGGAGGTGACCTCGATGCTGAACAGCACCCCTGGGGGCAGAGAGGGCGTCAGCGCAGGCCGGGGGCTCCTGCCCCCCCCCCACAGAGCAGCTGCTGAAACCTGAGCCAGGAGAAGCGTGGGGGAAGAGCACTGCCTGCCACCCCGCTCAGAACCGCAGGCCGGGTCATGCTGGCCGGGGGGTGGCTTAACACGACAGAGAAGGTGGACATGGGGATCCTCCACCCGAGGTGTCTGGGCAGTCCCCAGGACACAGGACTGGGTGGGAGTCCTGCAGAAAAGTGGCCAGTGAGCAGCTTCCCACGGGTGCTCTCCTAGTGGGCGGCAGGGCTCGGGGCAACCCGGAGGCAGGGGTGAGCCCAAGGACAACAGTGGTGTGGAGACACAAACCCAGTGGCTCTGAGTGTCCGACACCCTCTCAGAGAACTGTGCCATCAGACCAGCTCAAAACTACAAGCCAACACGCTCACCTTCTACTTCACACAAATGGCACTGAGTGACAACGACAGTGACACTTCCTCGCTCTTCCCGACAACAGTCGGGCTAGCACCAGCTCACTGCCTCAGTATCTCCTTCTACTCCCAGCACAGCAAGACCACGCACTCGGCCTGGACCCAGGGAGGTGCTCAGACACCAAAGTCTAGCGTCAGCGTGCCCACCGCTCTCTCCCAGCTGGCATGGGCCTTCCATGGTTCATCAACGCTGCTCAGTGGCACTCTGGGCACAGGCCCGCCCCCGCCTCCTCCAGCCTTCCTGCCGCCCCAGACACTACTTCTGCAGCCTCAGCAGAAGACGTGTGAGCAGACAGGAGGGCTGTGCGCGAGCCGCCAGCGCTCGGCATTCCCAGAGCAGCAGACGGAGGAGTACAAAAAGCTGACGGTAAAGGGGTCCTGCACCTCAGAGTGAAGCCAGCGACACCAAGTCAAGGGGGTGAGGACGAGGGAAGCTAGGTTTCACCCCAACTGTCCTCTCCGAGAGCAGGCATAGCTTCCTGAGAGGCAAAGAAAACATCTTTAAACACGCGAAGACCAAGGGGTTGACTCTGAATGGAGGCCAAGCAAACGCTGATAGCAGAATGACCTCAAATGTGCAAAGCCTCGTCTTTCTCAAAAACAAGCAGAAGGCCTGGCCCAGGGACCACTGGCAACTAGGCCAGGATGTCTCCGGCACCCGCCTCGCCCCAGGGGGGCCAGGTGCCACCCAGGATCCCAGTGCCTCTTCCCCTCCAGGAGGCAGCATCTCCCCCGGCCCCTTTCTTCTCTGCTCTGGACCCAGAGTCCCTGCTGGGGTGAATAGTGACTCACTCCACTGCTAACCGCAAGGCTGGGGGTCCAAGATCACTCAGAGACACGTCGGAAGCAAGATCTAGTATCTACTGCGGGCCGCAGTCCGCACACGGGGTCGCCAGGAGTCGAGCGAGCTCCACAGCCCAGGGATGCTTTTGCTTCTGCCTGCTCACTTGTCAGCCGCCTCACTCAGCACCTCCGGACCTCTGCCCTCCCCACCATGGGCAGCAGACACCCACTCACAGGAAGTCCCCGGGGGCGGGGGCACAGAGGTACCCCATGGAGTAGCTGCTGCTGCTTGTGGGAAGGGATCCTAGTGGTCAACTCCCAGGGCACCTCCTCCACGGAGCCAGGCCCTCCTCCTTGGGTGGGAAGAGCCCCTCCGTCACCTGTGCTCCCAGAAGGTGGGCATCACTGCAGCTATAAGGGCTTGTTTCCATTTCCCAACTCCCCAGAGGATCAGGGGCACTGTGGCTTGGGGCTGGAATCCCTGAGTTCAATCCTCGGTTCGATCTCAGCCACCACCCGTCTGTCAGGGGAGGCTTGTGGCTGCTGTGACACTAAGCAGGTTTCAGCAGAGCTTTCCGACCGAGAGGAGCTGCGAGGAAAGACCTGGTCTTCGACTTCTGAGCATCAGCCAAGAGAGACTCTGAGGGTCACAGTGGTCTGTCTCACCCCCAGCCCATTGCAGGGACACGCAGGGCTGGGCGGTGTTTCCCTGCAGTGTGCACAGGGTGTCCGTGAGTCGGACAGCACCCAGGGCAGAGCACATGTCGACAGCCCCCAGGGCACAGCACCCGTCGACAGCCCCCAGGGCAGAGCTTGGCTCAGATTCAAGGCTCCACACGGGCCTCTGGATGTGAGGACAGGATAGGCGCAGCTAAGAGGGGAAGAGGATGGAGCGGGTGGAATCGGCTGACCCGGGGGCAGCAGACTTTGCACTGTCCTTTGCCTGTGCCCAGGTCACGCCCTGCGAGGCCGCTGGCCTGGCTGGGGAGGGTGGCTACGGGGGACAAGCAAGCACTTGCTTCTCCTCTCCTCGTCAGTATGATGGACACCCACTGACCAGTTGCTCTGAAAATCCAAGCCAGGCTTTCTGACACACTCAGATGACGCTCCTGCAGTCTGTCTGTGGACTCAGGAATGAGAAACACTTTCTCCGCTATGAGCCACACCACTCACGGCTGCTAGAAGTCGCCTTCAAAGCACGTGGGGAGGCTCTGCATTCCCGCCCCTCCAGGTCCCTCCTCGCCTCTCCCACCCCACCCCACCCCCATCCTAGTCCCCTAACCTTGCTCCTCACAGAGCCCCTCCCTCAGCCACTCTCCTCTGGCCCCAGGGCTTCAAGTCCCCAGCATGGTCCTAACTCACAAAACTTCCTTTCCACCACCTGTGTGGCATGCCCTGGCTAAGCCGCAGGCATCTGGGACCCCAGACATGCACGGTGAGGCCTGCGCCCCAGTCTGCTTCCCTCCTTCTCATCCCCATCTCAGTCTCCAACGCTGCTGTCCACACAGTGCCCTTGTTAAGAGACCTGGGAGTTAGGGAAACCCCTCTCCTTCACCCCTCATCCCTCACCCAGCACTGGGCCACAGACTTCACTCTCTGCCCTGCCCTTGGCCCCCTCTGCCCTGCCCCCTGCCCTGGCCTGGCTCCTGCCATCCATCAGGCTGTAACTGTAGTTTTCTTGTCAGTCTTAGTCCTTCCCTCCCCCCCCCCCCCCCCCCCCAGACCATCCTGCACACAGCTGCCAAAGGGACAAAGATACAAGCTGGCTTGTCACGTCCTTGCTCAGAATCCCTCCCCGGCTCCCTTTGCCATGGCTGCATTCCCCAAAGCCACGTCCACGTCCCAGAACATTCCGGCAGGAGGCTCTGTAGGAAAGGCTCTGATAACTGGACCGTTTAACAAAACACCTGCATAACCCAGCATCTCCCAACTTACTTCACCTGAAACCCTTTCCAGCTGTGACGTCTCTTAGCTCCATGAGGGACTGTGTTCTGTGGACAGTTTGGCTAGCTCTGGCTCGAGACTGAACTCCACGCTCCTGGGCTCAAGGCCCTTGGTGACCTGGCCCCTCACTGCCTGTGCAGACTCCCGGGTGATGCCTCCCCAGTGTCCTGGGGCCACGCTCATTGTCCTTCCTGTGGGGGGACTGCCGTCCAGTCAGCTCAGGCTCACGGAGATCCCACGGACGACAGAACAAAGGGTTGCCCCGTCCTGGCGTGAGCCCGTCGCTGAGACACTGCAGTGCACTGTTGCGGCCACCGTGTGCTGAGTGCCTTCCAACCCCAGGGCCTCATCCGCAGCACTTTATCGGCCAACGGCCACTGGGACCCACACAGTTCCTGCTGCCTGACCCTCGGAAGCTCATCACCAGGCGGCTCTCCCTAGTCTGTCCCGATCTGGGAGCTCTGCTGAAACCAGTGCACCGTGTGTGACCCTGCTGTGTTCAAAACACTGATGCCAAGGCTTCTAGCCTCACCGCCACACGCCAGCCACCACAGTACGACACCAACAGACGGCTGGTGGCGCTGTGCAGAATGTCCTGCCCTTACTTCTCTGCCAACTCTTGTCAGTCAAGGGTCAGACTAGACCCTACGTCTCTCGGGAATCTTCACCGAGCCCAGGAGGCCCACAAGGAGATCCCCCACCATGTCCACAGGCTGCATGAAGGCCCTGACTCGAGTGGGCCGTAACAGTTGGGCTGCGCGCTCATCTACCTCCACCACGAGCACCTGGAGAGCTGGGACCTGGCACGGACCTGTCTCGGAGCCGGCACTGAATACAGGCAACCAGCTTTGCTGGTGTGTGGAATGCGGGAGACTCACGCTTTCACTCAGGGCCGCCCGTACAGCGACCACATCTTAGCACTAACTGTTCTTTCAGAATTAGCCTGTGTTCGTAGAAAAAGCAAGCGACGGGACCATCTGCAAGAACATCCGTTGTCTGCCACTTAAGCAGACCGAACGCGGCATCCCAATGACTTCCTTCTCAAGTCACGCGCTGGATGAACCCGGATGACGTGACACTGAATGAAGCCAGTCAGACACAAGAGGACACGCAGTTCAGCCCAATGGTTCACAAGATGCACACGCAGACCACTCAACCCAGGACGCCGCACCCACACACTCAGTGGTAATACATCCCTCAGAGCAGTAGTTCACAAGATGTACACGCACAGCACTCAACCCAGGACGCCGCACCCACACACTCAGTGCTAATACATCCCTCAGAGCACTAGACCATGGGACAGCAGAGGACCAACATTCAGGCTGAGGAAATGCAGGACAGACAGGAGAGCATAACTATGAGGGGCACAGGGGGAGGGGCACGGGGTAGGGAGGGGAGGAGCCTGGGTTAGGGCCGGACATGGCGGATGGGGAATGAAACTAAATGTACATGTGACGTTGAATGTAAAACAAGCTCTTACAATAAAAATAAAAAATAAAAATAAAAAAGCACAAGCAGAGGCACCCCCTTCCAGGAAATGTCCGGAGAAGGTGGGATCATGGGAACAGGGCAGGGGATGGCACGGGGCCTGGGGAGGAGGAAATGGGCAGTCGATGCCTGAGGGGTCTCCCCTCCCTTGTGGGAGCAGGAAAGAGTTTTGGAAACCAACAGTGCTGAGGGTTGCACAACACTGTCTGTGGTGGTTATGTTTGTGTGTCAGCTTGGCTGGACCTGGTTGGGTGGCTGGGCAGCTGGATGTACACTTGGACCCTGCATGTAGCCATGTCGTTGTTCGGCAGCCTGCCATGCTCTGCCGACCTTGGGGGACTTTCAGTGGACTTGAATGAATGGCCTGCCATGTGGTTTGGTAACATCCGCACCGTGCCATTTTATTTGTCGACCTTGGGCTTGTTAGCCTCAGCAGCCAGTAGCTGTCTGAGTGAAGAGATGCCTCTAACGTCAGTGGGCCAGGAGCAAGAGGCAGAGCTGAAGCCCAAGGTCGAGGGGCCTTCACACAGCCCCTAGAGCCTGGGACTTGGAACTCAGACTTCTAGCCTCCTGAACTGTCAGAGAATAAACTCCTGTTTGTTCGAACCATCCCATTTGTGGTATATATTCCTGTCAGAGCAGCACTAGGGAACCAGAACACGATGCCTACAATCAGTGTCACTGCAGTGTACGCTAAAAATGGCTCAAATGGCAGAAAAGAACAACGAACAGTATCTCTAACTTTCTTATAGTTTTTATCATTGCCATACGCTACCCAAAGCCAAAGGGAGCCTTCCTCACTCACCCCAGGAATTCCAGTTTCATGCAGAAATGAAAGTTCTCTTCACTTTAAAGGAATCTGGCTGATTAAATATATATACATATATTTCTTGTCATATTGCACTGGGCAAATCTGCTGCAAAAGACTTCTTTCAAGTGCTAAGAAGCAAAGATGTCACTTTGAAGACTAAAGTGCACCTGACCCAAGCCTATTTTCAATCGC